AGGGGGGGGGGGTCCCGCACCGGTCCCCGCGGGGAGAACCGCACCCACTCCTTGAAAAAGTGGGTGGTGGGGGTCAGCTCCCCCCGGCCCCCTCCCCTGCCCCACGCAGCACGGGCCGGGCACCCGCCATCAGCCCACCCCCGGGATTCAGAACTTGAGAGGCTTTTTTTTGGTGCTCACCGGGCCGAGCGGAAAGCGCTGCCCCTCCCCTCGAACCAAGTGGAAGATACTGGAAAAGAATTAAACCCCTGGAAAAATCGCTTTGGTCGCATCGGTCGCGTTAGTGGTAGCTCGGGGGGCAGAGGGGAAGGGAGGGGTGACATTGCAGAATGGTTAAAATAGTGATGAGATTTTTGCTGACCTGTTGTTTCTGTCACAGACAACATGCCAGTGTCAAGAATGCGCATGAGGCCCTGGTTGGAAATGCAGATTAATTCCAATCAAATACCAGGACTGATCTGGATTAACAAGGTGAGGGTTCGTTATTACTGTTGTTATTATTCTTCTTGCTTCTGGGTCATCAACCATCCTTGTTAGATGACACTAAATGTGAGTCAAGATCACAGAGGGCAGAAGAACATGGAGAAAACTTGCAAGCATTATGTTTAAAAACCAACTGGTTTTTGTTTTAGAAAAAGTAGCTCTGGTTGGCACACAAAGTAGCGGTTCTGTTTTTTTCCTGGGAAAATTCGCAGGAGGGAAATGATAAATGACAATGAAAGCAGTCTGAATGTGATGGAGAACCGAGAAAACTCCAACATCTCCTTTAGCTCCTGCTGCCCTCTTGAGCCAAGTCGCCTCCTGTCCCAGTTAGGTAGCTACTGTTACGCTCCCAGTCACTCCCGCATTTAAGCTTTGACCAGGAACACGGTATTTTTTGGTTGGGAAGGCACATCCCTGCACCTGCAGCACCGGGAGATCACTGGGCTTATTGAACCAGCGCGCTCTCTCTGAAGTTTCCACCTCCATCCCACGGTGATATTTAAGCTGGGACGTGGTTTTCTTAGGATTTCTGCAAGATCTTATGCCCAGCTTTAAAAAAGAGATTCTCTACCAAAGTGTACCTCGGAAATACGCTGGAGTTTGTTACATACTAATAGATTAGATGCAATATATTTAAATGGTTTCTGGGATAAAACTGGCACTGTAGCTTTTACTGTACTGTACCATGTGTGGGTTGTTTTTTTTTCCCAGTTTCAGAAATAATTTAAAAAACCCCTTAAATACCTTAAACAAAAGAGATGGAACAATGGATGTTTAATTAAGATACAGAGCAGAGGGTTCATAAAATTTCAGAGCTGCTTCTGAGAATTCTTTGGTTACATCCATCATCCCAAACTGGCACACGACGCTTCTTTTTTTTTTTTTAATTCAAATCTCTATTGGTTTAACTTCAGGATAAGATGATGTTTCAAATCCCGTGGAAGCACGCAGCGAAGCACGGCTGGGACATGGAGAAAGACGCCTGCCTCTTCCGCAGCTGGGCCATTCACACAGGTGAGTGCTGGCTTTATGTTTCCATCAGTCCCGTGAATATCTCAAGGCTTTTTTTTTTTTTTTTTTTTTTTTTTTACACCCCAGGTGGTTATATTAACTACTAGTGTATACGTCAGAGAAACATGAATGTTTTTGGGAGGTGGGAAGAACTAGCATTGAAAAATCTAAATACCTACCCCATCCCTTATTTATAGGAAGATATAAAGTAGGTGAGAAAGACCCTGATCCGAAAACCTGGAAGGCAAACTTCCGCTGTGCTATGAATTCCCTGCCCGACATTGAAGAAGTGAAGGATAAAAGCATCAACAAAGGCTCCAGTGCTGTCAGGGTTTACAGGATGCTGCCGCCCCTGACCAAGGATCAGAAGAAAGGTAAGTCCGCAGCGATCCGGCCGGGGTTACACAGCTGCTGCTCTTAAACACCCCTTAAATTCCCTGCGCTGTGTCGGCAGGGGTGTAACAGACCTGTTGGTAGCACTGGTGCTACCGGGGTTAGTCACTGGTTATTGCCATTGGTAACGGTTTGGACAAATGGTTCATTTTTATCCCCGATTCTTCAGATGTGCCTAAAGGCATCATCAGGAAGCGATCGGGAGTTGCTGGTGGTGACAGCAGGTTGCAGAGCTTGCTGAGCAGGACTCAGAGCTGCAAGAGCTCGCCTAAAATGTCAGCCAGGCAGCCCTTCCTAACATTCATCTTATTTTTATTTAACAGAAAGGAAGTCAAAGTCTTCAAGAGAAGCAAGAAACAGGAGCAAGAGAAAGGTATGTGTCTGTAGAGGCAGCTGAAGACGCTCGAGGTTTTGGTGGTTTTGGTGCTTATTTTTCTTTTGCTTATGGGAACTTGTGTGTTCTTAGACAAGTCTTTGATGCTTTGCCCTTATTTTTGTAGCCGTATGAAGACATGAAGATGGAAGAGTCAGCAGAAAGACTAACCAGCACTCCTCTGCCAGATGACCACAGTGGCTACACTGTTCACGACTACGCGGGGCAGGAAGTGAAGGTTGAGAGCACATCCATCACCTTAGGTGAGACTCGGTCTTTAGCTCTCCGAGCAGAGTGGGGAGTGCCGCCTGCGCTAAACCCACAATCTCTGCACCAAAAGACAGAGAGGACTCTTGGGGCTGGGCCCGGCTGCGCCGTCAGACGGGCAGGGAGGAAATAGAGGTGGTTGTGTCTCTCGCGAGTGCCAACTCCTGGTGCATCCCGCAGACCTCTCGTCGTGCGAGGTGAGCGGCTCCCTGACGGACTGGAGGCCGCCCATGGAGATCACCATGGCTGACAGCACCAACGACCTCTACCAGCTCCAGGTGTCTCCCCTGGCTTCGTCCTCGGAAGGTGAGCATTTTTTCCTACCCTGGTCTTTCACTGGTCTGTTGGTTGGAAGCAAGGTAGCGGGCTAAAAGACTGCCTGGGGGGATCAAGAGAAACAAGAGTTGTCTCGTATTAAAAATTAAAAACCACATCCAACCTCCACTTGATGGATTTTTGGGTGGCTGGAGCTACCAAAGCAGCCAGGTTACAGAAGGGGACGTGCCACCTGCAGAAATAGCTGCTTGTGGGTGGAAGGCTCCAAAATGCCCTTTACTTTGCACATGGGGGCAAAGGGGCAGGCTTCGTCTGGCAGGCTC